AAATTAAAATTCAATAAATCATCATTTATTTTGATATGAGTGCATGGAGTGCACTTTCTCCGTCTCTGTCTCTCACTTTCTCTATGTCTCTCTAGCTATTGCATGCCTGGCTGCCAGCACAAAGTTGATCGAAATTTCATTAGTGTCTGCGTTTTTTTTTCCTTTTTTATCTTTTTTTGTTTAAGTTTGGCATTTAGTTTTGTAATTATCCTTTTGCAATTTGCCGCCATCCTGTTTCCTGTTTTTGTTGAAACTTTGCCTTCAGTTTGCCAAAAGTTTGTGTGTGCAGTTTTTCCGCTTGTTTACCACGTCCAGTTTTTAGATATTTTTCCACCTCACTTGATTAGATTCAAACTTGGTTGTGCTTTAATTTCCTGTAACTGTTGCCAATGTCCCGTTTTTGCTGCATTTTACGGCAACCCAAACTCAATTTTTGGCCTGCTAATTAATTTTTGCGTGTTGCCAACGACTCCGTCGACTTGCAGCTAATTGTTATTGTTTTAACTACCGGCGACAACGTCTGACGGTGGCTCTAACCTGTCACCCCACCTCCCCCTTCCCACGCTCACCACCAACTCAAATTTCGTTTGGCAGTTTTGCGGTTTCAAATTTTGCCCCATTGTTGGGCGTGGAACGTGCAACGTGCGGCATGAAGCGTGAAGCGTGTGTGCAGCAAGGCGAAAATTTGCGCTATAAACATAAAAATTAACGACTGCCACAAGTTGTAAAAGACAAAGGCTACACACACTCCCACACACACACACACACACACACACACACACTCTTGCTCTTTGCCACATTGGTCAACATTAAAATCAGTTTTTATGTTTCGACCACACCTATCAAATGGCTGCTGGTTACGTGCCGCTAGCTGTTTGATTAAAAATCAACAGGAAACAGGATTCGAAATGGCCGGAAGATCCTTTGATGCGGCACCGGTAGTCGAAAGCGAAAGCTGTTCAATTGCCAATTGTGATAGCTGGACTGCAATTGCTCAGGATCTGCCGCTCAAGCCGCCAGCTTGAAGTTCCCCCAGTTCCCCTCACTGTGCGCTAAGCCGATTACACTCGCTCCGCCGGCTGCCAAATGAAAAAAGCGGAAGGAGCACTTATCCTTCGGGTGCCAGCGATTAAATACCCTTGCTAGCATTTAGCTGATATGCTTTATATTTCTATACTATACAATAATTTGTTTCATACCTAAGCAATATGCTCCGTAAAAAATTAATAAATAAATATATATTAAACTTATGTTGCATAATACGAAAAAAGTTCTTAAAATTGCGTATTTAAAATTTTAGACAATTATCTAATTTTCACAAACAAATGTTTTTTTAAGATTCAGAAAATGTTCCTATTGTTCCATAAAAGTCCACAGTATTCAAAAAAGCTAAAAAGTCGATTTTAAAAATTGTTAATATATCAGATAGTTTTCTTATTTTTATAAAAATCGTTTAAATATTTAAATAAGTCCTGAAATATTTACAAGGTTTTTTTTTGGGTCATTTCGAGCTGTCTCTTTTCGAATTACAATGCAGAGTCAAGCTCGTCTATGATAGGCTTAAATATCTGGTTGTTCTTGAAAATTGTAATACCCTCCGCAAGTGTATTCAAAAAGTATGCTATGGAATTGTTCGCACCAGGCTCCAGGATGGCGAACCAGCTCGCCCAGAATAAAGTGGCTGAATGACAGTGCGATTAACTCGCTGTAAGCCATAAACGTTGCAAGTGCAATCCGCCCCAGCCCCCGTCGCAAGCAATCCCCACTAATTTTGTATGCATGAGCTGAAATGAAGAGGAATGCGAAAAAATATAAACGACTGGGCGTGGGTGTGGGCGTGATACTTGGCATAAACGCCTTGCGTTGTGTGGTTTTTTGCCATGGCGGAGGCACTTAAAAAATCAAGTCCAACGCAGCCGCAGACCAACAAGGATCAAGGACTCCATACCTAACCCCCCAACACGCCCTCAAAACGCTGGCAACATTTTAATCCATATTTCTTGCCGGCTGGCAGACAATTTCAAAGATAATAGCTTATATATACATGTATTTTTTTGTGTGTGCTTGGTTCCTGGCCACATCGCTGGCATTAACGGCAACGCAAACGCAGCCAAGGATTACGATTACCATGCGCCACACAAAATTGTCCGGACGCAACATCTGGCAGCTGCAGACCCGCAGCCAGACGACGTCGCCGAGCCGGGACGAGTTATTGCAACAGCCGCCTCGCCCGACAACTGCAATTCGCGCACTATGCGACGACATGGCCAAAAATTATCATTTGGCCATAAATTGGAGCAGGCCCTTGCAACTGCAACAGTAGCAACAGCAGCAACCGTGGCAGAAACATTGTCAATTCTATGGCTTATCCCAATGAAGGAGTATAAGGCAGGAATGATAATTATACAGGCTGCAACTTAAACTCGTTTAGTTAGACAAAAATCAGGCCAACCTAAAACAAATCTAAACCAAAATTCTTTCAAAACCTGGTTTTACAAGGAAGTCTATTTTTATGTTCAAAATATTTTTAAGCAAGGATATAGAGTCTATATTTCTATAAAGTCTGTATATCCCCACATTCATCTTCAAGGATATAGAGGTGGTGGATGTCCCATAGATACAAAAATTGTGTATATCATGTTTGTTTAACGGCCAAAAAAAACCACAAAAGTAAAGAATTAATAAGAAAAAAATTCATGGTAATAAAACTAAGGATTTAGTCCTAAATTGTTTTCCATCCTCACTTTATTAAATACCAGTCAGAAAATCTTAAAACCCATTTGAAAAAAAAAATTATAATAAGAGCATAAATTATATATGTAGAATAAAAGTAAGCCAGTTGTTTTTTTTTTTTTTTTTTTTGCCAAGTTGAGGGATTTTAGAGGCTAGGGACTTACCCAGAACAAACATTAATCATACAATAAATAAAGAAGTGCTGAATATATAATTGTGATGTGCCTGAGAGCAACTTGTCACACATCATATGCATATACTTATATGTGCACGTGTGTTTGTGTGCCATATGTCATATGTCTGTTGATATATGCCATTTAATACTAGCGCATTAGTCACTTTGCCTAATGAAACGAATTCGACGTGTTAAACAAATCCTTGCGAATAAGTAATTAACCCATACCCAAAGCGGCTCAAATGGAATTTGACGGCTCACCGTCAAGGTGTATACCCTTTTTCCGACTGGAACGTGGAGTGGGTAGCTCAGACTCAAAAATACATTTGCCGTTGAATTGCAGACTTACTTGCAGTCTTGCCGGAAGCGAGATTTTCAATTAATTTCCACTCGATAAAATTGGCTGCTGCGGTTGCCGCTTGCGGTGGGACAATATGAAGCACTTGGCAACTGACCTCCCAACCACTCCCCCTGCCCCTGCCATTTGGCTGGCCATATCTGAATGCGGTTGATTGAAAATGCGCGCCGTGCGATATGAGACAAAGTAGCCAAGTTAATGCCAGAGCTGTCGAAACTTTGTCAACGTTATGATAGCTGTACATTGAACTCTGTGGCGGGGTGCGGAACTGTGTGGGTAATGTGGGCGTTCTTTGCAGTTCTGGAGCCGACCCACAATAAAGGCCGCGCCATGACGGCGGCACGTAGCAAAAGTTTTCCAAAACAAGATAAGCAGATTTACTTAAAGTTTTTGCCCAATGTCGAGAATTCCCGACGTGCCGCTGTCTCGCGACGGCCAGAGATGAAGGGCGTTCAAGTTACATATACCACTATTGGGCGTGGCCGGGCGCTGAAAAGTGCAGTATGCTGCCCCAGTTGCCGCAATTGCGCTGTCTGCCCCATGTGCATTCGTTAATTAGAAATGTGGCTGATTAGCGGCAGCTTCCACGCCAAATTGCATTAACTTGGCCCTGATTGTGCGAGGGGCAGCAGGATGTCGCTGCTGCATTTACCTATGCATTCGAGAGCGTGCAATCGACATTTGTTGTGGTTCTGTGCCCCGCCCCGCCACCTATCTGGATGTAACAAGACGCCCCACGAATCGCAGCAATGGCAACACGTAAATGCAATCAACCTGGGCGCACGTAGCGATATCGAAGCCTCCGACGTCGAACCTGTCAAACTCACAAGTTTTCCAGCCACGTTGGGTCTGGCACTCGGGTCTATTTGAAGTGGATTAATCAGGGCACTTGCAAGTGACGTTCTCCACCGTTTCGTAATCCCCGTTTAGTCCATTGGCACGTAGCGCTTGGAAGCATTTCATGGGGTTTTAAAAGCTACACGATCGTAAATCAAACAAAGCCAAACTCAATCTGCCTCTCCCTCTCTCTCCCACTATATACATATATCTCTTAACATTCAATAACATAAAATGTATTGCCAGTACTATGATTACGATAACATGAACAAATGCACCTAAGCACAATATTAAACAGCATGGCAACAAATTGTTATCAATATATTTTTTTCATTGTTTCATTATGAGTGTGCATAACACCCGGACTTAGTTTGGATGTGAATATGTTGTCAGCTTTAAATACTGCTTTATTTATGTGTATTCATTTCCCTTTGCTGTTTCTTGGTTATCTTGCGGGTTTTCCAAATGTCAGCTGGAAGAGTATTGAATAATGTGATATCCTAAAAGTCATGCACCACACGAGTTGACTTACGAAAATAGATACTATCTAATAGATCTGCTATTCAAAACGGAGACTCGACAAATCAGCTTATCCTATCCTACTATTTATATATACTTCTGGGAAAGAATATTCTCTACTACGATATGTATTGATTATGCAGAAGTTTATTTAATTTTTAATCACGTTCATCAGTAATAACTAGCTCTAACACAAAATATTAAACATTCCCAACTCGTATATAACATATATAAAAATGTCCAATATTTCATTTATCTTAAACCCAACCTTAAGCCATATTAATTGGATAAGAAACAGCCGAACTCAAAACTTTTCCGTATCAAATTTTTACAAAAAACGTTTTTTTTTATATTTTCTATTGGAAGATAATATATTTAAATATTTTAAAGGGTAACATTGCGTTAATGGTAGTTTTTGAAAAAATGCAATAATTATAATAAGTAAAAACAAGCAAGTATAACTACTTATTAATAAGAAAATGCGGTTTAATATAAGGGACTGTCATTTAAGAGTTCAATTTAATGAAGTAAAACCCTTTGAGCGAAAACTTCAAATAGCATGTTGCAATCTTTTTTAAGCAGTTGGTACTGTACTGCACAGTAAATACTTGGGATTGTCAGCCGTGAACCGCAGCAAATCAAAATAATTGCGATGGGTACGCTTATCGGCACGTTTGCGATGCGATTTTAATAACATTTTTAGAGATATTGCGCCGTTAAGGATGCCCGCAGGAAGCTGGAGACGCACAGACAATGTTTATATTGCAAAGACATCAAACATCTAAACGGCGAAGTTATCGGCCTGTGACAGAGCTAAGAAAAAAGGAAAATATAATAATAAACCAGTCGGCAATTGTCTCTTGAACTGTCGTGACCGGCTTGCTGAGGAGGCGAGCGGGGCAGCACATAAAGTCAAATAATAAAACATTTTAACTCGGCATTTGATGGTTGTTTTTATATCGACGGCATTGCGACGGGCAAATAAAAACAAAAACCGGCACGAGACCAAGCAGAGCTGAGGTGAGGCACCAGGATGCGAGGTTGTGATCCTGGGCGCAAACACCTTGAAGCGCTTTAATTTTTATGTTTGTCCTCGACAATGGAATCTCGTAAACATAACGAGATGTGCCGCTAAATTTATGCAATTAGAAATTAATATTATACAATTTGATGTGTGGCAGCCAGGACACGCGTTCGTGCTGCCATAAAAACTGTCAGCTTCTTGGAGGCTGAGTCATGTGCCAACTGCTATTTTATGTTTTTATTTGAATTTTTATACCAAGCGCGGGTGGACGGGCGGGCGGTCGGCTGCGGCTGGGTGCGTGACTATGCAGCACAAATAACAACAACATTTGTTGATATGCTAACAATGGCCCCACTCTGCTGCAACAAATTTGTCTGCGACTATAATAATATTTTATTAATCATTTAATCCTCGAAGTCGCCTGGGCGGACATTGATAAGCCACCAACCAAACACAAACGTGAGAAACTGACAGCTGCGCCAAGTCCAGCAACAGCTCAGAGTCCAAGATACTTTTCAGCCCCTGGGCTTAGCTAAAGATACAAAGATACAAAGTCATTACAGCGCATTCATAATTAAAATATAAGCATAGAGTACCTCAACAAAAAAAAGAAGGCTGTTCAAGTGCAGCGAGCGTAAGAATAGCTTCCTTAATTAGGCGATCGAATAATTTGATGAGCCAATTGAGAGTTGTACGACTACAAAATACTCTGTAAGGGAAAAAAAAAATCGACATTATATCTGTTTCATGAGAAGATTCAGATTCCAGATTTAATCGATAACAAATTTATAAGCCTTTATTACATTATATGAGTTTCAAAAACAATTTAAGGAAAAAAGTACTATAAGCAAATTTATTTGTTCAATTTTCATATGACTTAGATACAATATTAGCATGGCCTATGTTAATACACATTGTAGAGTGCTTCACCATCTCGATTTCATAATTATTATTGTTTTTTATATTTTATTTTATTAATTATAACAAAACGTATTTATAGCTTAATTTATAAACAGCATTGGCTACTTTGACGCTTTGATAAGAACTCAAATTCTCGTTAAGCTTTCCGATTTGGATAGAGACAAAGTCGGGAACGTAATACAGGTCCCGAATATTATCACACGGTTGGATATCACCTCAATTGATTCACTAGGTATTCCAAAGAGACGAAGAATTTAAGGGGTCTGAATGCGGCGGAGATTGGCAGAGATGTCATTCAATCGATCGCTCAGATCTCATATAACTACTATGTAAAACTTAATAGAATAAGTTGTATTGTATTTATTCATGTAAATTTAGTTTAAGTTGTTTCTTTGATAACAGTTAAATTAATGAGTTAAAAAACTCTGGATAGTCTAGCCTCGTCTTCTCGTTAAGCGTACTCAATCTGAATCTTAAAATAAGTACTTATTATTAATCCTTAAATCCAAGTTTCTAAAAATGCAAATACTCATCTTGATGCGTTTATACACCGTAATAGTATTAGACTGTAGGATTGATCTTTTATATGTATATGTATAATTATAAATTATAAATACACACTTTAATTACTTTATTATATTAGGAAGTGAAGGTTATAACACACAATGCAGACTGTACTGCCGCTCAGGAGGCAGGCTAATGAAAGGGAGAAACCTGAGCAGCTAGAAAAAAACGAAGAGTGGAATAACAAAACCTGGTGCTCAATCTTTGAGTCCGCCCAAGCTGCGCTGGCTAATTACGAATTCAGGCAAATGCGCGCTAAAAAAATAATAAAAACAATTTTGGACTGCTTCAGAGGGTTGGTAATTGAAACAAATCTAATAAATGGAACCAAAAATGTGCGTACATCAAGGCGGGGACACTTCGCCCGTTCAGCTCTAAGTGAATTTTTTAGCTGCACAAATCGAACTCTTACTTTCAACTTCAGTTTCTTACTGAGCCTGGGCCACTTACACAGGCAGCACACGTAATGAGATGCTTGGACCAGAAACTGGCAGCAGATCCACAGATCCTGTGACGCATCCCTTTGCCCTGGACTTGCTGCTAATAAGAAAAAAAAGAGAAGAAAATTTGCATAATTTCTTAAACAGTTTTCATTATTTCAATGTCTGCATTTTAAGTAATTTTTTTTTCCCTGTATTTTTTCGTAGCATATTTTTGGGCCTCGCCGAAGCGTGGCCCATTGCAATTAAACGTGTAATTACTCGACTGCTTAAAAATGCGAGCCCTGTCCGGAGGGTGCTAAGGTAAGGCAGCCCACATTGTTGTTATTGTTGTTGTTGTTGCTTCGTTTACGGAAGTTTTAGCTTGTTTTCATTTGATTTTCCTATTTATTATGGTCTGAGTTATTAGCGCGCTCTCATTACAAACAGCAGAGAAAAAACTTCGGGGGTTCTGTTTACTTGTTGTGACATTCTCAAGTGGTGCATAAAAATGGGCAGCAGCAGCAGGTTGAGAGGGGTTTGGTAATTTGTGGCCCAAAGCAACTGTTTATACACTGTACACAAGATGATAAAGAGTCTATGGGCTTTGTCTCGCCTGCATAGACAGACAGACTCTGGACGTATGGATCCAACCTTTTTAGAGAATTGAATTGAATTGAATTAAAACATGAAATATTTATTATAGTATATCTGTGACAGACAGAGTCCTACGACGCTGTTGGCAATGCCTATTAGGGGGCAGGTGAATCGAGCAAATTGATTTCACATACAGTCTTAGAGTATGAGTTTGTAAGCGACGAGATTTTATAGTTTTAGAGGCCCTCAAAAAATAATTAACAAAACTCATTTCAATTTAAGGAGTAAATACACCGTAAACAGTGTATTGAGCAGTCGATTGCGCCCGTTGGCGGCGATTCAAGCATACTAAAAGCATAAATACAATATTTTCGATTTAATATCGAACATTAAATTGCCATCGATACAATAAAGCCATCAAAAGTGGACTCGACACTAAGCTCTTCAAATAAAGGATATCCATAACGGTGTCCGGTTCAGTGTCGGATGATGTCCTGCAAAAAACTCGTTACAACTGGTCCTCAACTCGACTCCGAAGGCGCCTCAGTCCATGTCGAAACAAATGGACAGGCTGCACTTAGAGATACTCAAGGAATACATATATACAAAACAGCCAGACACAAAGTCTGCGTGGAGCACAAGAGCTGCAACAACAAAGCAAACGGAAAACAACAAAAGCTTCGATATAATAAAAATGATTTCCTTAAAGCGTAGCAGGGAAAAGCGGAAAAGTGAAATTGGCAAAAGCGCGCCACGCGAAACTCTATTAGCGAGCTAGACAAAGGAGCCTGTCCCGGTGCCACCCTGCCACACGGCTGCTTGAATAGTTTTATGATTTTTATAGCATGTGACAGCAGGATGCAAGAGCGGGCGATGGGCGGCTAAGTGGGGAGGGGCGTTTACAGGATATGGCCATCAGTTGACTGCCGGCCAAAAGTTATTCCACTTGGATTTTTGTATCTGGCGACTTTTGCTCATTTGCGATAGCTTAATGGGCGACGCGACGCAAATTAAAGGCGATGTTTGATGTGGCAAGTGCATGTGGCAAGTGGCAAGCGGCATAGACGGGCGGGCCGGGGTCCAAGCAATTAGGCCAAACAATTGATGTGTTTTTGTTATCGCCAACAAATGGCCAACTGAGAGCCCAAATAAAAACGGCAGCTTTGCATAAGGACAAAAAGTCCTTTAAGCGCTGCGCTACGTAGAAAATTGCGTTGAAAATTACGCAGGATTAAATGCGCTGATGTCTTGTAATTGGCTTTAAAGTTGTGCGGAGTCGTGAGTCAAAGTTTTAAGAACATGTCACATGTGCTGGTGTGTGCGTGGCATGTGGCATGTGGCACATGCGACACGCTAAGCTTAGCACAGAGTGTTTGCTGCTTTATCACGGCTTTCAGTTTTGCACCCATGCCCCCACGTCTCCCTCTACGTCCCTGTTGCAAGCTCGCACTTTTTGCATACTCATTCTATTGCCACATATACAGTCTCTGTGTGTGTGTGTGTGCTGCTAGTGAAAGAGTCGTAAATCTTTTGCCCAAAAGAGCGTGCAGTGCGTCGCGTCTGTCTGCATCATAAATCATATGCAGCCAAGTATCTGCTTACACACAGATACTTATGTATCTATAAGATACGCTACGTGCATCTGAGCGTAAGCAAAACAAATTTGATCATTTTTACGCTTTTGACATGTGAATTGCTTTTGGGGCAAGCAGCCAACCAAACGGCGTATCCTTCAGTAATTACACTTTGAAACGCTGTGAGACTTTGAGACTCAGAGCCGGAGTAGAATAGTTGAATAGAATAGTTGAGCATACTTGTGGTATTTTATATTATCTACAAAAGGTGTAAGCGAACAAGGGAATAGTATCTAAGAATAGCATTTAAGCATTTATTTATTTTATTTAATAATCTAAATGCAAATTATCGCTAAAGTAACAGGCAAACAGAACAGACAAGTTGTCGAAACTTCTACAATCAGAATTCTACGGCTGGAATAGGAGCGTACAGTCTCTTAGCCATATCCTTGATCATTTTGCAAAGATTAGGTACATTAAGTTCATCAAACCTGTGGCTATAAAAAAAAGTGATCTAGAAGCCATCGACCTTTTTGATTTATCTCAGCTCAGTATTTCTTTATGAAACTATGTATGAGATGCAATATATTTATATGCAGGCAATTCAAATTGTAATTGTCAAATTTTAAATAATTTGAAAGCATACAAAAAAACCAAAGCTCGGCTATTCTATAGCTGTGATAAACCATTCTCACGAATCTCAATCGAGGCAGTTGGTTCGAACCTTTAATCAAACCAGCGACCACATCTATTTAAGGGCTTGCAGCCCTACGAAAAGGAGTTAATTACAGAGCATAGTTATTATTATTGTAATATATGGAACATTGCTTGTAAAGGCAATACCTGGCTAGTAAACTCATTCCTTGGAATATGATTTTCATTTATTCAAAAGTATTTTATCGCTCAACCCATTTAACTGCTTCCAACTGGAATAATACAATAGGAACTACGTTTAGTGAACACTCCGTGCCCAACTATTAATTCGGGAAATGGAATCTCGGCAATCAAGACTGGCGGGCAAAACTATCTGGCGTCGACTTTGTAATGGTGGGGAGGTTCGGGTTCAGTTTTTGCCTTTCGTTTGGCCATCTACCAAAAATAAAAACAAACGGCCGTGGCTGTTGCCTAACCGGGTGCATAGGGATTGGAGGTTCGCACTTCTTGCTAATACTCGGACAATAGCTCGTCGGACTGGTCGGGGTTTTTTCCTTTCCCTTTTGCACTTACCATAAACACATAGTTTAAGTGCGATCAAAAAAAATAAAAAAAAACTTATTGATTTAAGTAAATCCATTGAAACAAAAAAAAACCGGATTCTAGTATGGGTACCATTAATGTGTTCCGACCGAACACCCAAATTCAAACTATTCAATTTCGCGTAAGTGAGAGAACTAAGGTGTTGATCGTCTCTCTTTCTCTTTACCCTCCCTACCTTGACAAGCAAAAAAAAAATGGAATGTGGATGCTTGTCCCTATTTCAGGTTCTTAAACCATCACTATAAATTGCAAGCGGCTAACATGGGTACTTGACAGATAAAACAATTAATTATGGAATTAGGATATCATATCATATAAGCTAATATAATTCGTTTATTCACGCATTGTTCAATTTTGTTGCCAATTAATAGCAAGGTGAGTATAACTCTATTTACAAGAAAAAATATACAGTTTCCAAACAAAATTTGAATCCAAAGTTAATATGATGAATGTGCAATAACTAGTTTAAATCCCATAAAGAAATTAAGGGGAAGGAGAAATTCACCAACATTATCTTGAGACTTGACGGATAGTAATTAATTTACCGTCTTGCTAAATTAACTGCATTTAAATGTTCATGTGTGTATATAATTACATATATCTATAGGCATTGGTTTAAACTCTTACTCACGCGATATCCTTCGAAGCAGACGTTGGGCCCAATGTATACGACGATTATGATCGCTGTTGCTAAATATTACAAAAGAAATTTATAAGTATATAAACACATGTATATATATATATATATATATATATATATATATGAGCAACGGTCAAGGTCGGTGGTGTAGGAATTTCCTCTCGCTTTAACTTATTTAGGCATATTCATTGCACATTTTGTTTTAAAGAAATTAGTAAAAGAAAAAAAAAATTAAAGGAAATAAAAATTAAAACTAAGGATCTATTAGCCGTCCATCTTGGCAACGTTAAACAATTAATGGAATTATATGGCAATGCTGCTAAGCAAGCGAAAGGGGTACACCAAAAGTAATACAGACTCGGCTCCTTTGTTACTCTCTGCAGGTTACACTATATGCTTAGTGCATGCGGTCCCGATGGTGCTGCATAAATAGTAAGCGTTTCACCCGCTTGACGCCGTTTTCCGAGGCTATGCCAGATGTTGTTCTTCGCAAGACAGCGGCTGATAAGTAAAATAGCAACAAAATTGGTTCTGCTGGGTTGCTAAGTGCGACACGTGCTCTTGGTGTTGCCCTTGTCTGGTCCGATCTCCCCCTCTGGTAGTGCCGACTAGTACGTCTAAATCTAGTCAACTGAGCAGGCACGGAAACTGTGGAAGCCTTAATTAGTTCCAAGTCTCAACACTAGCACATATAAATACCTTTTCTTTAAGGGTCACCCCGAATCACAATTAGGTTAGTGGGTCGAGTTGTTATGAAGGTTTTTGGTTTCTATTAGCGTACCAAAAGAACACTTCCAAACTGTACCACAATTGCAGCCTTGGTCGTTGATGTCTTTGCAAAAATTATTTGCAAAGAAAGAAAAAATGTTATGAACTTAACTCGCACGCGCTTCAAATATATCTGACATGCTGAGCTGTACTTTTAACCTTTACTACTTCCCAACGACAAAAAAAATAAGGAAGCTTTCAAAAGCTCTACATCACGCGATTATATTTTAAAACGGTACTATGGCCTGATCTTATCACCTTTTTCCTCTCTATTCGCCCTATTCGGTTGCGCATGCCCTCAGCTGTGCAATAAACGAAGAATTGGCTTCCAGCGCGGTCGGTAAAGCAGTAACTAAACTAGAGCAGCTGATCAACAAGCAGATTCGTTTGGGGAGTGCAAAGCAGCCACTACACCACAGTTTATGCAGCGCTACTTGCTAGCGGGACATAAACTGAAATAACTATAATAACTGTTGAGTTAGAACTTGTTACTAGTTTGTATATCTTTGAGATGAAAAGTACCGATGCATTTACCTGTTTCATTAGCTAGTTGATAGTAGGCTGGGCTGACTTTTTGTACAACAATCGCCGGAATGAAAACTGGTGCAAGCTTAGAACTAAACTTCTTTTGCGCGTTACTCTGACAAAAATTGCGGGCGAAGACTTTCGTACCGGCAGTAAGACTTATGTTTCGGCTGCGCAAATTATATATCTTAGCATTTCTATTATGTGACTGAGCTACATTGTCTTTAGCTATCTGACGGATTACTTGTAAGGCTGTGGGCCTCTCAATAGCAGTGTCTTCGGACAAGAGGTTAAGTCGCTTTAGCAAGTCATAGTCTTTACCGTTTAACATCATATTCTGTCCAAACGCTAAAAAGTATGGAGAGTACCCTGTACTTTGGTGAACGCTGGCTCTCAAGGCAGCACAAATGGCGTACAGCTTTTTATCCCAATTTGAATGATCTTTTCCGATATAGGCTCTAATAGCCGCTAATACTGATCTATTTACTCGCTCACTCGCATTACTTTGTGGCGAGTATATTGCCGTTCGAATGTGGATGATTCCATACCGGGTAAGAAAAGCTTTAAAGACACTAGAAATGAACTGAGAGCCATTGTCGGTCAGAATAGTTTCTGGCACGCCGAAAGTGCAAAACAGTGTGTTTTCTAGATAGTCGATAATTTTGTTGGTAGTAAACGCGCGAAGAGGCCACATAAAATGAAATTTAGTATTATGGTCTACAACCATCAGGAGACCTATATTGCCGTTCTTGGACCGAGGATATGGCCCTAGAAGATCCATGTAGAGCTTCTGAAATGGCCGTTCTGACGTCATAGGCTTGCCCATTGGAGGTCTCAACACTACATTGGGGCTTTTCGTTTGCCGACAAACTTTACAATTGACTATATATTCCTGAATTTGGGCCGACATTTTTGGCCAAAACAAGTATCTCTTGAGTTTCTCTATTGTTTTTCCGATGCCACTGTGTGCAGCGTTAGGGGGATTGTGGGCTCTCTCTATCACTTGTAGGGTGAGAGACGAAGGTATCCAGAGTTTCCAGGATTGTTTCTCCTGAATGCTATATCCCGTCGCTGGCTCAGTACGTTTATATATAAAACCGTCGATTATCTGTAAATCCGGTAATCTGGATTGGTTAGAAGAAATACTGTCTATCAGATCCAGATAGTTTGGCGATTTGAATTCGGGTGAAGACAGGTCAACTATGGGACCTTGCTCCTCGAATTCCGCAAGCTCTGTCTCATTTTGACGCGATAGCGCATCAGCGACAACATTTTGTGTACCGCTACGATGCGAGACTTTAAACTTGAAGCCCTGTAATTTGATCACCCATCTACCTTGACGTCCTCTGAGATCCTTCTGTCTCATGAGCCATTGTAAGGAAGCATGATCAGTTATTACTTCGAAGTCCTGTCCTTCTATATACGCTCTAAATTTAAAAATACCTCTTATTACGGCTAAGCATTCCAGATCGGTCACACTATAATTCCGTTGGGCCTTTGACAGTTTCTCTGACATGTATGCTATTGGAGCCTCCTCTTCCTGTTCATTTAGTTGAGCTAGAACGCATCCTAAACCAGTTGTGCTAGCATCGCAAACTAATCTAAAAGGTTTTGAGAAGTCGGGTGTAGCCAATACAGGTGCAGAAGTTAAAAGTGTTTTTAAGGTGTTGAAAGCGGAATCAGCATCAGTGTTCCATTTCAATACTTTCGATTTCTTTAGCAACTCTGTAAGCGGAAAGCTAACTGTTGCATAATGATTAACGAAACGTCTATACCATCCAGCGAGTCCAAGAAAACGTCTCAGTTGTTTTACACTTTTTGGTACAGGGAATTCGTTAATAGCTTGTATTTTGCTAGGGTCCGTCTTTAGTTGACCATACCCAATTATAAAGCCCAAATATTTAATTTCCCGCATACAAAATTTTGATTTTGCGATGTTGATTGTCAAGTTCGCTTTACGCAAGTGCAGCGCTACTTCCTGCAAAAGCAACATATGCGAATCGAAGTCCTCTGATAGCAGAAGTAAATCATCTAAGTAGACAAATACGCGGGTCCGCAAATGGGCTGGTATCACGCGTTCCATTAGTCTACAAAGCGTTTGAGGAGCGTTACACAATCCAAACGGCATTACTTTGTATTGAAATAATGGACGATTAGGGACTGTAAAAGCGGTATACTGACGTGATTTTTCTTCTAGGGGTATCTGCCAGAATGCGTGCTTCATATCGAGGCCCGTTATATATTTAGCCGGCGGCAGACGACTAAGAATTCCGTCGATATGGGGTAGAGGGTACGCATCTTTACGAGTGTACTTATTTATGACTCGAGAATCTAGACACAGCCTGTTTTTATCCTTTCTTTGCACAAGGACGCAGTTGCTGCTCCAGGGGCTATGCGATACCTCTATTATATCTAAAGCTAGCATTTTCTCGATCTCGTCAAACATTAGCTTTTCAACGGCTGGCGAAATAGGCCAATGTCTTTGTTTGACGGGGGTCACATTATCTATTTCAATGCGATGTTCGATTAACTCAGTGCGTCCTAATCCTTCCTTTTCATAAGAATAGAAATTAGAAATGATCGAATTTAATCGTGACTTTTCTTCAGCGGTTAGCTGATGCATTTTCGCTGTTTCCTGGATATCCTGTTCGTTACTGTTGTCTAATTCATTTACGGACTCATCAGGACGAATTAAATTCGTTAACAGTCCAAAGTCCTGCCAAAAATTTATGCCTAAGTAAACATCTTGTTTCAAATCGGGTATAACATAAAAATCAACATTATGCGCTTGTTTTCGAAATTCAACTTTAAGTGTCAGTTTGCCTACCACTGGGCAAATAGCGTTGTTAGCTGTTCGGATTGATCCAGAGCATTTGCGCGCTTTGGGATGTGACAACAGTGACTTAGCTGCAACATTACCGAGGCAACTAATCGTCGCTCCGGAATCTAATAATGCTACATATTTTTCTCCCTCTAGGCTTAACTCAGTGTACAAGCGGTTATCTGAGCTCATAAACACTGATTGAACGAGCTTCTTACGAAGACTTTTAATATTTTTCCAGAATTTCCTAAGTCGAACAGTAGAGCGTTTTGGCCGACTGAGAAATTCGATGGGTTCTATGCTGCTAAAAATTCGTCTTCGTGTGTCAAGATAGTGTTTTACTCTAATATGGTACGGTACGTACTTATTTTCAATATCAGTTTGAGTTGCAGTCTCGGCGACTGAACATGTATTTGCCATATAAGTTGTAAATATAGTATTTGGAGTTGATTGCTCCAAACTACCATATGACTGTATTTCTGGCAAGGACTTTATTCTTTTGTGGGATGCGTCAAACTGGTGTTGGTCTGCGCATCCCGCTTCCGGTTTCCCAAAAGATTGCATTTGCTACAATTGGGTTTAAAAGTATTTTTAGCACCGCAACCGTAGCAGAATATACGCCTTTCTCCCATGCAGTCATCGAATCGGTGTCCCACTTTATCGCAATTCCAGCACACTATTTTCTTGTTCTGTATTTCTGAAATATTATCTTCTATATCATTATTTTCCAGTAACTCAGAGACATTACCTCTACCGTATTTGGTTCGATTGGGAAACGAGCCAGTTTCTCTACAGAAACTTTCATGTTTCTTAACTTCCTCTCTTAATTCTGCTCGAGTTCTAATCTTCAAATGCAATAGTTCGTACCTGAGCGCTGTTCTCGCATTGCGTTTTAATAGGTCAACAAGCTTGTCTTCGCTTATTTCGTTAGATAATTGGCTAACCAGGCCTTCAATCGCTGATTGAAAATCATCAAATGTCTCCTGATCTTTCTGGCGTCTTTTCCTAATTAGTTCCCACAAGTCAAAGTCGTCTTTAACGTCCTCGAATCTAAGTCGGAAATCCGTACAGAAAGCCAACCAGGTATACTGTGGGTTTTTCTTGTGGAAGCTCCAAAACCAATCATTGGCTTTCCCGAAGAAAAGTAAATGAAGATTGTCACAAAGCAGCCTATAGTCGCCGTTCAAATTTTGAGCCGTTAATGAACGAATTCGATACAAGAATTCATCTATCTGCATAGAGTCTTTCGAACCGTCAAATTTAAGTCGCCAGGTTTGCATAATGCTAGCTGCTTTTTCTGAACTCAAACTTGAGTTTGATCGATTGCTACCTCTGGGGCTGTATGGTCCGCAGTCAAGGGGTATGTCAGAGTTCTGGGCACTATTAGGGAGAGTATCAGCACCTAATCCCCTTGGAGACTGAACTAATCTAGAGCGTGTTGATTCAGCTTGCTCACTTCGTACATTTAATGTTGCTAACTTCTCTTGCAGTGATTGTTCAACAGAAGCTTTAATAACGTTTTTGAGTTCTGCTATTAAAGTCCTTTGCTGAGATTGTAGAGCTTCGTTGATATAGGTAATTGTCTCTACATTTGGACCATTGTCCACTGACTTATTTCCGTTGCTGCCTAAAGACATGCAACTACCTAAATATTCTCTATGATTTCGATTCATAGACCTAGTTTGCATACTTCGCTTGGGCGTGGCTCCTCGCCCTTTTCCGAATCGCTGACCTCTCCTGATACCTGTAGTAGTCGAACCATCTTGGCAAGGTAGAGTATTTCGCGATAGAGTTTCGTCTGTTTCAGCATTACCAGCTGAGTGTAACTCCGCTGCCAGTGTATTGTTCATAAATATTAGTTGCCCTGGGTTGCAATCTGCCTCACATACTGGACATTTTGGGGTTGTCTTTAGTGTATTGCTTATGCAAACGTCGTGAAAACGGTGTTGACAAGGAGTAGTCGCAGATAGCTGTTCTGCTTGCAATTGCTCATGGCAAATGCCACAAAATGGATCTTGCGCGTTAATCGCTGCAACTATGCTCTCTGTGCTTCGTCTCACTGCCATAATGAATGCAAACTTTTGCTTGTTTCCAAACAACAAAAGGAAAACTAAATAGGACTTGTATTATTAAGTCTTGGTTATTTATTCTATCTGTCTTTTTCCCACACGTTATTGCTTACAATCCTTAAGCAAACCTGAGTAGTTGAATTTGTGCTATTTATTTTACTGGAGTCTATTTCTGATTTGGATTTTTACTGCTCATGGACTACTAGACAACATCCGAAATATTTCCAGTTTGTTGTAATTCCAAATAGTCCTTGAAACAATTAACCCAAATTTGATTATTATTCCCTCTTTTCCGATCTTACCCGCTGCTTAAAGTACTAGTAATTAATTGTGGTCGACTAATCCAGCAATGCCTGAATTACAATCGCAAATTCCTACAACTAACTACTGTCTGAACACAACGTATTTTCCCGAGAAAGGGGCCTAACAGGGTAATTAAAAAATAATAGGTAGTAATTGATATGGTATAACTTCGAGTTTCGATTGGGGATTGTTGTGCACTAGGTGTTAGTCGTGCTTACGCAAGAAGTAAAAGTTTTACGTTCTTGCTAGGGTCCCACGTGTTGGGCGCCATATATGTAATGGTGGGGAGGTTCGGGTTCAGTTTTTGCCTTTCGTTTGGCCATCTACCAAAAATAAAAACAAACGGCCGTGGCTGTTGCCTAACCGGGTGCATAGGGATTGGAGGTTCGCACTTCTTGCTAATACTCGGACAATAGCTCGTCGGACTGGTCGGGGTTTTTTCCTTTCCCTTTTGCACTTACCATAAACACATAGTTTAAGTGCGATCAAAAAAAATAAAAAAAAACTTATTGATTTAAGTAAATCCATTGAAACAAAAAAAAACCGGATTCTAGTATGGGTACCATTAATGTGTTCCGACCGAACACCCAAATTCAAACTATTCAATTTCGCGTAAGTGAGAGAACTAAGGTGTTGATCGTCTCTCTTTCTCTTTACCCTCCCTACCTTGACAAGCAAAAAAAAAATGGAATGTGGATGCTTGTCCCTATTTCAGGTTCTTAAACCATCACTATAAATTGCAAGCGGCTAACATGGGTACTTGACAGATAAAACAATTAATTATGGAATTAGGATATCATATCATATAAGCTAATATAATTCGTTTATTCACGCATTGTTCAATTTTGTTGCCAATTAATAGCAAGGTGAGTATAACTCTATTTACAAGAAAAAATATACAGTTTCCAAACAAAATTTGAATCCAAAGTTAATATGATGAATGTGCAATAACTAGTTTAAATCCCATAAAGAAATTAAGGGGAAGGAGAAATTCACCAACATTATCTTGAGACTTGACGGATAGTAATTAATTTACCGTCTTGCTAAATTAACTGCATTTAAATGTTCATGTGTGTATATAATTACATATATCTATAGGCATTGGTTTAAACTCTTACTCACGCGATATCCTTCGAAGCAGACGTTGGGCCCAATGTATACGACGATTATGATCGCTGTTGCTAAATATTACAAAAGAAATTTATAAGTATATAAACACATGTATATATATATATATATATATATATATATATATGAGCAACGGTCAAGGTCGGTGGTGTAGGAATTTCCTCTCGCTTTAACTTATTTAGGCATATTCATTGCACATTTTGTTTTAAAGAAATTAGTAAAAGAAAAAAAAAATTAAAGGAAATAAAAATTAAAACTAAGGATCTATTAGCCGTCCATCTTGGCAACGTTAAACAATTAATGGAATTATATGGCAATGCTGCTAAGCAAGCGAAAGGGGTACACCAAAAGTAATACAGACTCGGCTCCTTTGTTACTCTCTGCAGGTTACACTATATGCTTAGTGCATGCGGTCCCGATGGTGCTGCATAAATAGTAAGCGTTTCACCCGCTTGACGCCGTTTTCCGAGGCTATGCCAGATGTTGTTCTTCGCAAGACAGCGGCTGATAAGTAAAATAGCAACAAAATTGGTTCTGCTGGGTTGCTAAGTGCGACACGTGCTCTTGGTGTTGCCCTTGTCTGGTCCGATCTCCCCCTCTGGTAGTGCCGACTAGTACGTCTAAATCTAGTCAACTGAGCAGGCACGGAAACTGTGGAAGCCTTAATTAGTTCCAAGTCTCAACACTAGCACATATAAATACCTTTTCTTTAAGGGTCACCCCGAATCACAATTAGGTTAGTGGGTCGAGTTGTTATGAAGGTTTTTGGTTTCTATTAGCGTACCAAAAGAACACTTCCAAACTGTACCACAATTGCAGCCTTGGTCGTTGATGTCTTTGCAAAAATTATTTGCAAAGAAAGAAAAAATGTTATGAACTTAACTCGCACGCGCTTCAAATATATCTGACATGCTGAGCTGTACTTTTAACCTTTACTACTTCCCAACGACAAAAAAAATAAGGAAGCTTTCAAAAGCTCTACATCACGCGATTATATTTTAAAACGGTACTATGGCCTGATCTTATCACCTTTTTCCTCTCTATTCGCCCTATTCGGTTGCGCATGCCCTCAGCTGTGCAATAAACGAAGAATTGGCTTCCAGCGCGGTCGGTAAAGCAGTAACTAAACTAGAGCAGCTGATCAACAAGCAGATTCGTTTGGGGAGTGCAAAGCAGCCACTACAACTTCAACGAGCGTCGCACCCAGGAGACAGACTGCCAATTAACAGTTACATGTTTGTACAAAATAATTGGGTTGCGTGACACGAGGATTAGCGACAGGCAGGACGAGGAGCAGGAGATGGGCTGCGCTAAATAGTAAATAAATAGAGGAGTTCTGTTTAAAACAAACAGAGAGAATGCCAGGCACGGCCAACTATATAATTATGAGCGTGTGCATTTATTTCTGATAGTGCGTCATCATCATCATTATCATAATCAACATCATCATCGCCATCAAAGTGCGCCGCAAGACAAGGGCGTTGCTAAAGTTATTAACGCGTCGTGTGGCGTCAATCAACTTGGGCCCGGGGCGCGATTTGCATGCGTGCAACAAAAAGCGGCAAGGTACAGTCCTTGCCCGCCAAAGAAAGGCGCGTTGTTTTTTGGGCCAAAAACAAGGAAAAACGTGTGCCAGCCCAAAATCAAACAGACGGCCCAAGGATTACGATTTCTAAGGCTGCCCCAGAGGGGAGGGCGGGCCAGCGGCAGGCGACTGGTGCCGAAATTTATGTTAATTTAATTGCAACACATTAAAATAGTTTCATGTCATGAAGTCCTGCAAGGAACAGGCAGCTAAAGGGTTGCCAGCCACCCCGCCCCACAACCAGTTCTCAGACACTTGCCGACGACAGGCGATTGATGTGTTGATGTTGAGAACGTTGACTGAGTGTGTGTTCCATGTGTGTGTGTGTGTGTGTGTGGGTAACCCATGATTGTTTGCCTTTTGCGGCTCCTTGGTTGCCATTGACAAATTTGAGGCAGCGTCTTCAGCATCCTTAATTAAGTTCCTCCGTCCCTCGACAATATCCAAGCATTTGTTTGCCCATGTGAAATGCATGAGCATCATTATCGATAGTTTCACATTTCATCGTATGGTTATACATCAAAGGCAGACACAACAGCAACATAATAAAATTTAAATTAGAATTTTAGCCCAAAGGCGAGGTTGGCATTTCCTAGAGACGACAAGAGGGAGAGAGATGCTTTATTTTGCTAATAAGAAATTCACGTGAAGTGATTTTGTGCATTCTGATTATAATAATCGTTATTCTACAATCTAAAGCACATCTTATTTCAACTATAGAATAGCCTTTGATTTTAGTAAGTACAACCTTGAAAGACAAAAATTTATCTCTAGAAACAAGAGGTTTTAGTCGCAATTTTCTACTAGGGTATACTCTGAGCCTACTTCTGTGAAGCCTTCTTCCATTTTATCTTCTGGGCCTGTAATTAAGTTAATTTATATACTAAGGCAGAAAATAGTACGAGAATATATATGTACATTTTCTTGATTTTTTTTTCTAGATGAGAGATGCTCTTGTCTGTTCGAAAGATATGAAAGAAATAAGAACTATATAAAATATATGGATATTTCAATAAACTAAACTAAAAACCTAGTAAGACAAAACCCTGGAGTTGCAATTGTTTAGTGAGACGGAATGAAAGCCTCTTAAAGAGCGTAGCACACAATCGCACAGATAGAAACGAGTGTATTCTCAGACTCTCGACTTTCATAAGTTTGGCCGCTTTGGGTAAATGTTTATTTATGGCTGCGCAGTTTGTATTTATGGCCGAATCATGATGACAAATGTCACATGTGGCAAACACTTGAAATGGACACCAAAACCCCTGCGAAATTCCAGCAAAACTATACGAACCACCCTCTATTCTGGCTCTGGCCTGAGTTCGGCGTGGTGCAAAACATTTTGCAAATATTTTGTCAAGCTGCAAAAATAGAAATATATATGAAATATTTATAGCTCGCTCAGCACATTACACACCTAATTTCTATATTAGTTTTGTTATTGGACAATGGTCAACGGCCAGGGTAAACGAAGAGCGCGGAGTGCTGGGTGGAGTTTGGAGTGTTGCTCGTGCATATTTATATTTGTACAACTTGATTGGATTTTCGTCACGCCTCGAGCAAAACATTTGTTTGGCCATTTATCAATGCGAGCCATGGCTGTCGCCTAGCCTCAATATTTTTATAGCCTGATGCATTGGCATCCCTCGGGCAATACCTATTTATGGCTGGCTCATTAGGCGGCGTCCAACCCGAAGGGTCCTTTGTTTGCAAAGGGTTTAAGCTTAACAAATGATTCCAATTTGCGTTGCAGCTCACAAAAGTTTATCATTATGAGGAGGGGCATGGATGGCTATTGATCACAGCTGAACATTATTTAATCGAGTGTAAATAATAGTTATAAATTTTCAATATACAATGCTGGCCATTGATCTATGACACATTTATCAAGCCATATTGCGTCTTAGTCCCTTTTGTATTCCCCTCGCCTGTTAACAACTTTATCGAACATTTTCCAAGTTTTCATTTAAAACTCATAATTTTGATTTACACACCGGCAGCTGTTGATATTCCTTTGTACTGGCTACATAATTTATGCCACTGCCAGATCTGCCCAAGATATTCCAACAACAACAATTAGAGCGCCAATAAATCGCATAAAAAACGCACACAGCATTTACACCTCATTAGAAAAACACGGCGGAAACGTGTCCTAATGGCCAATAGCTAAATAAAAGAAAACACAAATAAGAACATGTCATACGGCAGTAGCCGACTGCGCGGTTCTCTGTTCGCAGTCTAGGTCAGTCAAAGATGGTCTGCTTAGTTATTGCATTGTTTTACTCTATAAAGGGTTCGAATTCGGACTTTCACTTTTTTAGTTACCCTGAAATCTGTGTTTACAGATATTTGCCAATCTCAGCCTCGATCCAATGAATCGACCTAATGTTTGCTTCTTTAACTCGACCCAAGGAGCTTACCGGTTCAAACCCTGAGCTGTATTACATTTTACATCCTTAATTAATTGTAAGTGTTACATAAGAAAATATCAGTAAGACATGTCCTCAATATTGGGGACTTCTGTTCCTATCGCATACATGCTTTGATATGCGTATATACGAACATTTAAGTGGACAGACATTGCACACCACCAATATACTCGAATTCACATTGTGAACAGAGTACAAAAAGGAAACAAAATTTACAGCTAACAAAAAATATGCTGGACACGCTACAATTGGGGGCAAATTTGTGGGGTTAGTGAATGGTCCTGGCGCATTTTATGGCTTTGAAATGTTATATCTTTTGGTCGGCTCGTTGACTGGTTGGCAGCGTGGTGTTAACATGTAAACGCCGTCGCTAATCCCCGTGCCACGCAAATAGCGGCCCACATTTAAAAGTCAGAGCGTGGCGAATGTGGCAAGTGTGCGGGAAAACCGGACGGAGTGGAGGGCCAAGGGACTCTCGGGGTTTGGCCTGGCCGACAAGTTTATGTTTTTGATTTGCATTTGAAGTGGCAGTCAAAGCCACTTGGCAGTCGCTGTCAAAAGGGGCTGATTTATGTGTGTTTGCGAGCGTCAGGTACAGAAGCTGAAAGCTGCTCTCTGATCTGTGCATAAAGCGTATAATTTATGCCAATTTAATTGAATGCGCCGCGTATGAACAGGCTGACTGGGCTGCTCCCTGGAGAGCTGGCTAGCTGGCTAAACAGCGGCCAAGACAATTGCAAATGAATGAATGAATATATATGAATTGCAAATGAATATATTCACAAAAGTTAAATTGAATTTGTTGCTCATTAAAATGAGCGCCACTTTCGCTGGTTGCAAATCAATTGCGATGCGCGGGTGGCGGCTACGCCGACCTGGAAAACCACTTAACCACACACACGACACGCCCCCCCCCCCCCCCCTCCTCCCACACACACACACGCACTCACAACTGGTGTGCGGCCGCCGCCATTTTGGTTAGCCGCAGTCGACAGCGACACGTTTACGTAGACGCCTCATGGCCATAATTAAGGCTTTAATTTCTCGAAATGATGTGTAGAAACCCTTTCAAAAACCAGTTACACATATGCATACAGGCTGGAGCTGGGCGTGTTACGTGTCCTCTTGCGTGACACGAACACGCAAACAACACGCGTGTTCGTGTTCATATTGATAAAAAGTATTAACACAACTTTACACAATAATTTTGAAAATTAGTGTTTAAAATCAGGCTAAAGAAATTATTTAACCTTACAGCTTCACAAATATTTAAATTGAACACTTAATTAAGTAGCTCATAATAATAAATATTATAAATAAACTATTTTAATTGCAGAGTTTGCAGACAGACGATTACAAGATATGCTCGTGCGACTTACAAAAAGATTTATCTCATGTGCGATATGGCGTTCTTGCTGAGTTAAGTTAGGATAGCTCGGTGTCCAAAACAATAATTAATCCAAGAACTCAGTATTCAACTGTTAATGCTGAAGGCAGCTTTATGATATACTTAGTTATATGAGTTAGCCGACTCTGAAATATGTACTGCCTGCAACAACAACAATGCAAACTGTCAGGAAGATATAATCAAAATATAAAACTAAAGAAAGTATGTAAGATGAAATTTTAAAAATTCCTACATCTTGTGTTTTTGTGTTTGTTCGCCAAATCGAAATACGAAACAAAGACAGCTCGGGAGCTCTAGGGGATACTAGGAGATACCCTGAACCCTCTTCT